ACACATATACACACATACATATACATATACATATACATTAATATGGCATATGATTCTGAAATGGGCCATTCATCATAAGGAGTGCTTTTACTTTGGTACTTTAACTATATTTTGATGCCATATACGTTTGTGCTTTTCCTTTAGTTAACTTTTACTTCTGAAAGAGTATTTTCACACTCAAAGCTACAACTGGTCATAAAACTTGAATCTATCTATCTATCTAAAACAGTCTCAGTTTAATACTGATGCCTCTTTGACCTACATAAGCACAGGAGACCATCAACCAGAAGTTGATACAATAATAACCTATATTTTTATTCTTTATGCCTGCCACTGGGTCGGATTCAGTCTGATTCCCCTTGAAATCAATGAAACAAGGCGGAGGAAACACTAGTGCGTTTGTTCACAGGTGTCACCAGAGTCAACACAAAAAGCTTTTTAGTTAATATTTAAAGTTAAAGATTTACAGTGAATACTACTTCCATGTATAGGTAGCAGAAAGTACCTCATCCTACTTAAGTAAACGTACTTTCCTCCCCTGCTATATCATTAAAATGTTTTCATAATACTCTACTGCGTAAAAGTATGACAGATGTTGAGCAACCAAGCTACGGATCATTAAAATAATGCGGTGGAAATGCTTTGTTTTGCAACCAACCCATGTTTTGCCAGCAGTCTTACATGAAATGTTTTTTCCCAGTATGACCACCATAATACGTAAACTAAAAGACATGCTGGCTCTGAAAGTCAGCTCTGAGTCAGGTCATGAGTCTGAAGGGAAAGTTTTTTGGTTCTGTAGTGGCAGACCTAGAGCTGTCATCTCTAAAAGCTCCCTCACCACCCCAGCTGCCAACCCTAGTTTGGGGGTACTATACAAAGTGTTAAAAATGACTTCACCTCTACCAGCCACAACAGTTAAATGCTTCTTACATAATACATTTAATACTTTTAATAAATGTTGTTACTAACACGCTTTTACTTGGAGTAGAGTATTGCCACGATTTGGCAATTTACTGTGGGTGAAAGGCGTCAGTCCTTCTTCCACAACTGCTTATGTCACCTTTTAACTATTGCCTGCAGGAACACATTTTTGCGTGCCATGGTGAACGCCTCAGTCTGGGTTACAGAATATTGAATGAAGCATCGTCTCTTCTGTCTGAACTGTGATCTTTTTTTGATGAGTGGGAGGAGGCATCAGTACAAAAAAGCCTTCCCCTTCGGCTTCACCCTCACTCTCACTTTTTTAGCTTTACGCACGCACCAGTCTCAAAGCTCCTCTTCGATTTACAAAGCGGCTCAGGTTGGATATTTAAATCGAACCATGGCAGTCATGATAAGAAATGAGGTTTTCTCCTGTTTTGTTTTCTACGGCGTGCTCCTGGTGATAAAAATGTACATAATTGCGGTAATAACGGGACAAGTGAGGCTGCGTAAAAAGGTGAGTGACAATGTATAATAGAGAGACGGCTCAAAGCGGAGACAGATGTCATTTTGCAACATTTTATAATCTCACACCTGGGATCTTTCACTGATGCAAAGTTTTTTTTCTTCTTCCCTGAAAGGCTTTTGCCAACCCTGAGGACGCAGTGAGGCACGGAGGTTTACAGTACCACAGGGAGGATCCATACGTGGAGAGATGCCGGAGGTAAGACAGCAGAAAGTTTGTCACGACATGCTTTTACTTTATAAAAAAAATCCCCCGAACAACTGTAACTGAAGCAGTCAGTGGTGGAGAAAGTATTCAGATCACTACTTAAGTAAAAGTACTAAGTAAAAATAGTCTACTGTAAATATTTAAATAGTGTTTTAGTACAAGTTGTTTTAAGTGTTGTATATGCTGTTAAGTTGGTTCATTTTTAACAATGCAATCATATCTTATAAGTTCATGATACTTAATTTGTAAAGTAACTATAGCTGTCAAATAATAGAGTAAAAAGCACTGCAGTACATCTGCTTCTGAACTGCAGTGGAGTACAAGTAAAGTAGGCTACCTTAAACTTGTACTAATCTACACCACTTAATGTACTTTCCAGCACTAATAGCATCATACATCCTTTACACTTCTTGCCCTGCAGTTTCTACATTCAGATCCTGCTGTTAATTATGCAGTCACTGTCTATGATTAGTAAGAGGTTATGATAAATACTGAGTGTTCACAGGTTTTATAGAAGCTTCCAGAGTTTGTGTGACTTGGTAGAACAGGGACACATTACAACTAATTAATACCACTTTAATACTTCCTGCAAATGTTTTTACAGTAAATATTTAATAATTGTTTTCCATTGACATGCAACTCTTCGGTGAGATCTTGGTTTCCTCCACTGATTTTCAGCAAGAGTTGGCAGCCGGGTGTAGATATGCTCCACTGCTTTGTTTTAACTTGCCCGTGACAGCAGAGAGGAAAGCAGATATTTTTCGACTAGTATAAACTTTTCCTTCTGTTTTTCCCGGAATGTCTATCTTGGATTAATTGAAGTTGTGACAGGAAATGACCACACAGCTACAAATCCTAATATGTTTTTTTTTTTAAATCATGTTTGGGTTCAAATATGTTTGTGGCTTGCTACAACATGACGAATTGGCTGCCGGTCCAAACATCTTTTTTATGTGCTGGTTTTGAGCCTTTAACAGGGCAGCTTTTCTTAGAATAATATTAAAACTTTGAACCCGGTGGGTGGAGAGGAAGGAGGCTGATAAGTTGCTGCCAACAGGAGAAAATAACAGACATCGACTGTTTTGTGAAGTACTGTAATTAAGTACACATTTGAGGTACTTTACTTGAGTATTTTCATTTTATGCCACTTACACATCGAAGATTTTGCACACTAAGGATCTTATAAAATATGTTTCGTTGTAAATTAAATTATTCAACAGAATATACAAGTACAGATGAAACGATTAGTTGAGTGACAGAAAATTGATATACGATATAATATCAATAAATATCAATATAACAGTCACAGGGGACTGTTTTTCTGCTTTTATTTTTTTCTACTTTTACTTTTAATTCTTTAAGTACATTTTCAATTCAGGACTCCTACTTTTTTTGTAGTTTTCCCTAAAGCCCCTACAAGGAACTTTTATTTTGTGTTGATTCTTGAAGTGGCAGTTTTCCTACCCCCTCCTACCTACATTGATTTCAAGGGGAATCCAAATGAATCCCACCTGGTGGCAGGCATTAAGGATAACAATATAGAAATAGCGTTTTTCTTTTCACTGCTGGTATTGTGTTTATGTACGTCATATAAAAGGGAACGGGTATTATATTGAGACTTTTATAACAAGTTAAAAACCCTGTGTAGTACGTTTAAGTAAAAGATCTGAATACTTCCTTCCCCACTGGTGATGCAAGTGAGACAAGCTTTTATCCAGATTAAATTAAACTGATGAGTCACTATACTGAGAAATGACAGAATCCACAGTATTACGTAAGTAATGATTTCTCATTCTCAAGAGCACCAATTTTCCAGGAAAATCCAGAGGGAACTTAACATAGTCCAGAATTTGAACCAGTAACCAGAATGTGGTACTAAATCGCCTTTTTTCTCTCTTCTATAGAGCTCATATCAACGACATGGAGAACATTCTCCCCTTCCTCTTTGTGGGTGCTATCTACTCCTTGACTGGACCTTCACTTGCTGTGGCCCGCCTTCATTTCGTGGTGTTCTTCATGGCTCGCATGCTGCACACCATTGCCTACCTGTTGGCCCTGCCGGCACCGACACGCTCTGTGGCCTACACCGTTGCGCAGATTCCCTGTGTCTCAATGGCTGTGCAGGTCCTGATGGCAGTCGCAGCTTATGCCTAAATATCCAGAAATGAGTGACTGAACTGGAGGTGGGACTCTGGTTTGAAAAACGGCTGTTATGACCTGATGCCTGTGTCAGTAAAAGCAGGAAGAGGATATCTCAGAGGCCTCCTGGGAGGGGGAGCGTCAGACAAGCGGTGTCAGAATGTCAGTGACAGTGCAATATAAGGTGTGTGGACACCGCAGCTGGTTTTGTCAGTATTTTTATCGTTTTATTAACGTTTAACTGTGATATAGTTATGTGAAGATAACATCTTGTACTGTATTTAAAATGTAAATGAAGGTTGTTGCTTGTTTGAGTTTTTTAACCAGGTTTTGTTGAAATGATTCACTGACAGACATTTAGTTTAAGCCACTTTGGAATATTTTCTAGCTCCATGCTGTATGTTGATCCCTGCCCCCTTGTGTGTTTACACACAACACAGACCACCATTTATGTGGTGTTGTATCCTCTATGGCTTGATCTGTTTCCTGTGTGGATATTCCATCTGTTGTGTTAACATTTCTTTGCGTAGTATGTTCAACAAAACCATAATGAATCCTGGCATGATCACTGATGATCTGTTGAAAGATTTAATACCACTCAGTGAAAATGGAGCTTGATGCTTTTACTCCCTCTCTCAAGCGCCTTTTAAGGAAGAAGAAAGTACTCCTTAGTTTGGACTGAGAATAAATCTTACAACAACCTGTAGAGAAAGAAAGAAAAAATAGTGAGAGGTTTTCTGATGTGTAACATTTTTATTGAATCTGTGAAGACATTTTTCGAGGCTGTTTTTAAAGTATTGTATTAATAATTTATTATTCAAATTTAACGTATACAGTGATCTTTTTGAATCCCATTTTTGTAGACAATAAAACAATTCACACATGCAACCATGTGAACGTGTGTTAATTCATTCAATTGTGTTTTAGTAGAAAGATCGTAATGTTGACTTTGCCTGGTCCTGCAGAGACAGTTTGTTCTGGTGTTGCAGGGACAGGGCCCCACTTTGTGTGTGTGGTTGTGTGCGAGTGTGATATGATCCAGAAGTCCGCGGCAAAGCTCCAGCATTCCTCCACCTATTATGTAAGAACTTTGGCTGTGCTGTGTTCACAGTCATATTCTGAGGGGCCAGGGGGGCGGCCCTTATAGACATACTGAGAGATATTGCTCAGCTCTCATTTCTCACTCCTGTGTGACTAACTTGTATTTGGCTTTAAACAAAAAAAAAAATCCCAGTCCTAAAATGATGTATTCCCCAGGTAATCCCATTTATAGTTATTTTCCAGCTATGACTAAACCTCAAATTACTGAGTGGAATGTTTAGTGATTATGGAGTTTTTATTCCAAACAAAAGAAATATAGCAAATCCTGAGAAGGTGGGAGGACTAGAGAAGCCTAATCCTTTGCTTTGAATCAATAACAATACATAGGGTGAAATATAAAGCTAATTACAATGCTGGGGACACATGGGTGTGTCTATATCCTGTGTATGTATCAGCAGCGTGGTTGTCTCAACATGCCTATACCTTTAGGGTAAAAGGAAACAAGGCCCATATCCTCTTTCCTATACTACACACTCTTTTCAGCCGAGTGACTCACCAGGTGAATGGGCTGCAAGGGAATGACTCACACATACAAAAATCACAGTGACCGGAAATTGCTGTCTACATTTGTTTTTTTTTTCATGCCAGATCAGTCAATCAATACCTTCGTTTGTTTATGGCAACTGTACAGTGGCTGTCAAGGGCAAACGCACTGCAACTTAAGAAAACACGAGCAAATAGACAAAACACAAGCAAATTAAGACATTCATTTTACAACACATGTATAGTATTTAGAGAACACCCTGCAAGTACACAAACACGCTGCATATACAGTAATGGAGACTGGGATTGGTTGGCACAGAGATATTTTATGGTCCTTTGAAAGTCATAGAAACAAACAAACGTGGTATTTGTTCCTGAATCCAGTTATATATTACTTTTCAGTTTTATTATCTTTACCCTGAATATGCGCGTTATACAGCAAATCCGCAAAATGGAGAAACAGGAAAACGATGAAGGGTTATACCGAGACCTGACTTTAATAACTTCATTAGTCTCATAACTTTTTGGTTGTGTTTTATGCAGGCAGCAGGTATTTGGGTAGCAAGTGACAATTTTCAAACACTTTATGGCAACAAGAGAGACAGCAAAGGACTCTCAGGGGCCTTAAGAAGAGAGTTTCAGGCTGACTATGTCTCAGAGAGGAGAAAGGATCAGAATGCCACTTGGTGAGCAGTTCCTCATTTCTCTTATGTCTTCAAGAAAGGGTCTTGTCACTCCCGGATTGGCCAAGAGGGGAACCACCAAGCTGCTCTCCATCATTGTTGATGAGTCAGCAGCAGCCCCCCCCCCAACAGGTGAACTGAATGGACCTCTAATCAACTCAGAGGAACGTTTCCGATTGATCCACAATGAAATAGGGAAAAGGAAAAACCAATAGCAGCATGAATTAATTCATAAATGACTGCTACATGCTCATGTTTCGTCTATTTGCATGTGTTTTCTTAAGATGCAGTGCATTCGTCCTTGTCAGCCACTGTACAACTTATGAAGCACACATAAAACACAGGGCACGCAAGTACAACAATAAGTGAACAAAAAAAAAGCTCTGTTTTCATTGCCCCTGTTCGGTTCACATCAGGAGATCAGTTTATTTTGGACAGGACAGTCTATTGTTCAGTGGGTGTAGGCCTGGCTCTGTGCAGAGTGGCAACACATACTTAGCACCAAGCAGCAGGCAGACAGAGTTAGAGAGAGTACAGACCAAAAACAGTGCTAAAAGAGGACTTACATCAACAAGGTTGATCAGAAAAACAAAGCTTCAAATTAATGATAATTGCGTTATAGTATAGTTTGCTACATATCAACTTAAAAGGTGATGATTACTGGTTCACAACTTGTTTCTGCTGACCGCAAGTGGCCTCAGTTATAGCTGGTTTAAGTCAAAGTACCAATATCTACTGCATTCACAAAATATGATAAGTAAGTAAAAACAAAAAAGTTTCATGAACACAATGTACTTTTAGTATCAAAATAAAAGTTTTGTATTCATATTGTATTTGTTATTTGTAAAGTATTGTATATATTTTTTACTTTTCTTGAATCTTTGCTTTTTTAAATATTTGAAATTTTAAAGTCAACCATGAAGGTTGAGGGAGTGGATCTACTGGTTTAATCAGTAACAATGTGTTGTATTTTTTTAAATGTTTTATTTATTTATTTGGTCTTTTATTGCCTTTAATTGTGTGACAGCGAAGAATAGACAGGAAAGGGGAGTAGAGAGAGGAATGACACGCAGCAAAGGGCCGTAGGTCGGACTGGGCCACTGCAGCACAATGTGTTGTATTTTATGAGATTATTATATGTTTTATTTCTGTAACATCTTAATATGAAAATTACGGCTGTAAAATAAATGTAGCGGAGTAAAGTATTTGAATAGAATATTTGTCTCTGAAATGTTGTACAGTAGAAGCAAAAAGTATGGAAGTAATGGAAATACTCAAGTACATACAAGTACCTCAGAACTGTACATTACCTGAGTAAATGCATTTGGCTACTTTCCACCACTGCTAATTAACAATCACAGGTTCCAATTTTCACCTTCTGAGAGAACAAATTGTGTGGCTTCCTGCATGATCTCACCTGAACTGCTCATTAGCCTACATGGCAGCACAGGTGGTACTTAGTAGACCTTTGACTTTCCAGTTTAGTTTTTTGTATAATTACAGTAAATACCACAGACGCAGATGCACTTTGATCTGGTAGAAATTTAATTTCAAGTGGGGTTGTGTGTGTTTGCTCGTATCCCCCAGGAACTGTGTTACCGTGTCATTAACAGCTCAAAGAGATGAAAGGTTTTGAGGAATTCAGAGATGAGTTAAAATTAAGTCTGCACTGGAAAAAAGGGGAATAAACTTTTTTGAAAGCATTTTAGATATGAGATTTCTTTTGCTACAAACAAACACATTTGAATGCCAGTGCGGTTAGTGATTTTCACTTATTAAGATTTCTTAAAATAAGTCAAGATGTACAGCTACCAATAGTCTTAATTTTAGACCAAATGTATTATAGTAATATTTATAGACATGTGAACTAACCATTGCTTTAGCCATACCAGGGTAGATCAGTAGGACCACTCTCGTCCGGACGAAAACATCTCAACAACTACCCCAGAGAATGCCTGGACTCCAAAAAACTGCTTATTCTAAAATTAATAATGACACTGTTGGTAGTCCCATTGTTCAACATTTTGTAAGACATCACTTGTAAAAAACGAAAAACAATAAAAAAAAAAGCCAAACAGTTCAAATTTCATAAATATTTATTACATATCAATGAACAGAATCGACTACTTTCACAGCAGTGGTCTACAGCACTTGTTTAAAATAATTGCTCAAATAATAATAATAATAATAATATAGTTCAGTTTCATTTGAGGCCACATTTGATACACAAACATTTACAAGTAGTACTTGGCATTAAAAACGATGGCGATACAATATTTTAAGACACTTGGTGTTTTTTTTGTTAATTTTCTTTCATTTTGATATCACAGAGAAGTTCAGCAACAGTCTAAACAGTAAATATAGATTCAAATACAAAAAAAAAACAAAAACAAAAAACAGTGAAAATGCCAAGGGGAGGTAGGAACAAAGAGTACTTGACAGAAATACAGGAGAAATAGGAACATCATAAGTGGGAGAAGCAGTGTCACAAACTGTAACTGCCAGGCATCCCCCAGTCACCCACACTCATTCAGAGTAATAAACACTAAAGTAGAGTACCTTTGTAAAAATCCCCCTTCTTCTTCCCCTTTTACTTTTTCTGACTTGTGTTATAGTGTTGGAGGGGTTCACACTGAGGCAGGCAGGAGGAGAACAGAGGAATTGCGTGAGGGGAAAGGAGGAGGCTCATGCAAGATCTGAAGGCTGCTGTGTTGTGAAACCACCACATAGAGGCGCTCTCATACCTACATTAGCAAAGTCAGAACCACAGCTCCCAGTTTGTTGCCCTACCCATCAGTGGATCCTTAAAGCTTTCTCTTTGGGTTTTCCTGACTGTCTAGTGTTCATTACTCAGAACACTTTCCCTGTTTCATCTTCGATTCACACTGACTCACATGACTCATTTAACTTCCTCAGTACAAAGAAAAAGTTTATTTATTCAAGAGAATGCAATTTCTGAATAAACTGCTGTGGGATTGCTGGCTGCTGACACAGAGCTGTATTGCTTCAACAGCGTTGCTTCATAACTGGATGAACTGCCTTGCTGGCTTAACTTTATACGAATGAGTATGAAGAGTTGGGGGGTATTAGCAAAGGGATAAAGGTTTAGTTTTAGTATAAGGACTTAAATTAGCTTAAGTGTAGGGATAATTCAAGTGTCCTAGTTGGAATAAAGGTAATACACGCCCTGTACTAGAGGGAGTTGAGTTGTTTCTCTGTGTGTGGGTCTATGTGTGTTTATGACCATGTGTTATTTATATCACTAAAACCTGTGAGATATGCCAGTGAATTGTTTTTTTAATACATATAAACAAGCGTGCATGCATGTGTTTTTCCTATCGTGTATGTAGGCATATGTTATAGTTAGTTAAGTAACAGGTCTGTCATGAAGCTACAGTGACACCACAGAGATCAGAGAAACGGCCTCATCAGTAAATCTCAATCAGCTGTGTGTCGCCACCTGCAATTAATGGTTACCATGGTGATGGTAACTGCCAGGGCGTGACTCCTGGGTCAGACTGTTCATTTAACAGAGATTAAGCTGAGAGGCGCCACTCAAACTCTAGTGTTTTACTCACAGAGTGTAATTCCTATTGCCTTAATATGTGTTTGTGGTGTCAGAAATGTTAAAATCTCCTGACATTTCTGGTGTCACTTAACATTGGAGTCAGTGGGGCGGTTGCTGGGATAGTACCATTGTTTGAAAGATGTATTTTTCTACGGTTTGATGAAAACAAATTATGCAGGAAGAATGAAAATGATGGAGAAGCGGAAGTTGAAGAGATTTTTTTTAAGAAGAGTTTAGGATACAAAAAGCATTTTTTTAACAGAAAGCTTTTCAAAGTGGAAGTGTGGGGTCTGAAAGAAGTAGACATTTAGAGCTTGTCTAATTAAAAACACAATTGAGTTGCATTATGGGAAATGTAGGATATATATATATATATATA